AGGCAATGTCTGTAGTGTAGGATTACTCCGTACAGTGTCGGAACCACCCTGAACACCCGGGGACGCGTTGGGAACGTCAATCAAGGCGGGACGAAGCTTGCTGGAAGGAATGATGGAAAGAGGGAAAATGGTCACGCTTGACCAGGTGCGGACTCATAATAACGAGGCTCTGCTGGGAAAAGTATAGAGCGTGCTGTTTGGCATACCTGCCTAACAAATATGCCGTGCTATATATGGCAAATTTATTCACACGAAGGATGACAGTGGTTCCAGCACACCGGCGCACACGGTGATTGGACGGGACCAGCCCTCGTAGCCGTGTTGCCCTGCCGTCCGGGTGGACGAATAGCTCCATGTAATGTCATGCAATGCACATGCATAAGGGGAATCGAAAGGGAGATGGGGATTCGGGAGGGAAGAAGGAGGGTGTGGGAGTCTACATAGGCGAGGGACGGACGGGGGGATGGGGGACGGGAATTTACTCCTTCCTGGTTACAGTCCTCTGTGCCTAAGCTACAGGGGTATTGGGTAAAGGAGGGGAGGAGGAGCAGAAGGAAGAGGAGTAAGTCGTTCATATTATTAGCAATGCAGACCCTCTCAAGAGGAGACGGGGGAGACGGGAAACGGAAGAAGGAGCTCTTCCTCGCGGCCATTGTCCGGACCCAAAGGGCTGATGACTGTTTCCATTCCCATACGGGGAGAAAGGAAGCTTCAGGTCGGCGGTGGTCCCGACAGTGACGGTGACGGCGATGGTTGTGATGGAGAAGGAGATGGTCTAAATGTGATACCTACCTGACTACCTACCTACCTACCTACCTAGGTATCTACCTCTAGGGCACGGAACAGTACGGAGGTGGTGGTGGTGCGCGAACACGAACGGCGCGGGTTTGTTGGCTACGTATAGACAGGCAAGCCTCAACTAATTGCCAACCTTGTGTCTATCTCGATGTAGAGACTCCGCAATTGTCGCAGCCTCGTTGGGTAGAATACCTACCATCGCGACCTACACCTCTCTCTCGCCGCTCTCTCGGATCAAGGGAAGACCATCCGAAGTCCAGGGTCACGGACAGGGGTGGAGAGGTTAGCGCCAGATCCAGAACAAACAAATCATTCCATTAACGCAATCTGCATGTGGGCTTGGTCCTGTCCTGAAAGGGGAAAGCTCGGAGGGATGGAGGAGAAGGGGAAGCTATATTTAGGTGGTCAGATTATTCCAAATAATTGAGATGTCTGCTGTCCGTACAAGGAAGGTGGCTACCTTGGTAGGGAGGAGAAGGGGAGGGAAATAAACAAGGGGGAAAAGCCTAGCTAGCTTACTAGCTATGCAGTTAGCCTAGCGTGTGCATACTAGCCAGCTACAAGGCAGGTAGGTAGACGGGTAAGTAGCGTTGCCAGATACGGAGTACAACCTTCGAAACGACAATAACGGTCCGGCAGACGTTTTGTTGAAATTGGTATCTGGTTACGCGTTCCTTCTTGTGTCCTCTAGAACAACTAAGCAGACAAGTAAGCACGAGAATACTCCGCCTGCAACGGCACTAGCAAGTTCCAAAAAGGCCGGGTAACCAGGAGGAAGAGAGAGACAAAAGGGCCCCTCCTCCTCCCACACCCCAGATCTGAAAGAGGATATGTTACTCCTGCTCAATGCGGGATAGGGGAACGAATGGGTCATTTGGGAAATCGCCTAACGTAGGTACATACGGGTAACAGGGTGGACAAGGCAAGGGGGGTTTCAAAAGATGGATAAGTATTAGTATACGTACTTCAACATGGGGGCTGAGAATGGTCCCCGACTCCAGTCGAGCTTGTAAGATGAAGCTTTCGAGTGCTGGGATTCGCTATCACTTCTGGGGGGGTTAAGGGTGGTTTATTTTTATCACCGCAGCACTCGAGGCGAGATGTGGTAAAAGCGGCGAAAGAATGGGAATGGGACCCGGGCTCGCCGGACATAATGTACATGAAATGATGGACCTTGGAATGATGATTATGGCTACTCCATACATCCGACAGTGACCATGACTCAAGGGCGGTTCTTTCAGGGGCAATGAACACGTTATTTCATGTCATTTCATGGCACCTCAGCCCTTGGCTCCTTGTACGGAGGACTTTTTAATTTCCTTCCCATGTGTGCCTTGATGGGTCTAAGATGGACAGGACTCGGACTCAGGACTCGAAAGCGTGGGTAGAATTGAGTGGGGGAATTGAGCGGAAGGGGAGGGTACATAGGAGGAAGACACAAGGGAGGCGGGCATGTGAGTGGACGGATAAGATCATGTCAAGTCAGACGGTACTGTAGATTAGGTGGAAGGGTTCTAGACAAACGAGGAAATGCGAGGGGATGGGGTGAAAGAGGATGAGTAGGACGAGGACGGGGCAGCAGAAGGTGGTGCATAGGTCAACCAACTTCAGGTCCTGAACTGACCGGAGGTAATGTCAGCACGGTCGTCGTTGTCGTTGTTGTATACGGACCAAGTACATTTAAAAGGCCACACACGACTACTCCATAGAGTATTGAGAAGCAACCAGTCAGCAGCAGCAGCCACATTTACTGTTCGGTTATGCTTCCATGTGAAGAGGAAGGACGATTGCAGGCAAAATCTGTTAGGTACCAACAAGGAATCCATCTTCCGAGACAGCAGCAATTCGATATCAATGAAACAAAGGGAGGGAAGTGTGCAAATCGCCCAAGAAGCTATTGTTATTGCAAACACTTTCACGCGACTGCGAAATCAGCGTGCCCAGTGAATCGACTGCTCAAATCAAGGTTGGTCCTTGGCCTCCGTCAGTCAGTCAACAATAGTCGAGGTCCAAGTATCGTCGACACCAGGGCCATCAAGGTCATCTCCCTCTACTTCTCGTCCAGATCGGTTGAGCAAGTCAGATCTTTCCATTCCTCCAAACCCTTGATTGTTTCCTCGCACTTGGTCTTGATCGTTGCGTACGCATCTGGTCCGAGCACCAATCTCATTGGAATTTCCCTCCCACTGTCGCCAGTGAGGACGTCGATAATGACTTTGACGCCCTTCTTGATGTCGCCTCGCTGTTTGTTGTCATATTCATCCATCAATTGCTCTCCCCTTCGCACAGCCGTTCCTTCGTAATCAGCAATCACGTTTTCCCTTTTGAGTTTGTTTCCGGCGTTGAGAAAGTTGGATCGGAAATATCCAGGTTCGATGGTACAGACCTTGATGTTGAAGTCTGCCAGCTCAAAGTACAAAGTTTCCGAGAGGCCACTGACCGCCCACTTGGAAGCGCAGTATAGACCGACGCCGGCGACACCGCGCCAGGCACCGACGCTGGAGAAGTTGGCCACAACCCCTGACCGTTGCGCTCGCATAAACGGAACAATAGCCCGAGTGGTGTTCAACAGCCCGAAGACGTTGGTAGCAAATTGTGCTTGAGTTTGTTCCGGACTTCAACAATGAGAATATGAATATCATAGCAAAACGAGCAAAGAACGACTTACGTGAGTTCCTCTAATCCACCGACTTGGTTATAACCGGCGTTGTTGATCAGATAGTCGAATCTTCCGTAAATTCGGTGTGCTTCCTCAGCTGCCTTCTTGAGATCCTCCAACGGCGCAGTGACATCCCAGTTCATCGTGGCGGCGCCGGCAGCCTTGATGTCGTCAAGTTTGCTGGCATTGCGAGCAGTTGCAATCACTTTGTCACCACGTCTCAACGCACCAAGTGCGAGTTCCCGACCAAACCCACTGCTGCACCCGGTGATAAACCAGACCTTGTAGCTTGCCATTGTTTTGAAATGCTATCGAGGCTCGACTGAGACAACAGGAGATCGTGACTGGAACTTGCGTGAAGATAGCTCGAGGAGTGACTGAACGTTATTGTACAGAACTTGGGTATCTCACACTGACACAGGTCGACCTCGTGAACACTTTTATACCACCACCTTGACGCTCTTGCATGTCTCGGCCTTTAGAACGCATTCTTTGCCTACGCACAGCCAAGAGCAAGCGGCCGATCTAGGCACGGACTTGCTGAAGTAATCTCGCAGTGTAGCATCCGCAACAAATGATGCCCAGGTAAAGTACGCATAGGCAGGCGGCTACAAATTCGAGTTTAACTCCCCTAATAGGATCCAAGCAAATCATCAAGTCCGTGCGAGCAGATTTCCATGCTCACAACGTTGGCCAAGGCCACACAATCTCTCGGCCACCAGCCTAAAGACCGAGACAGGGCACTGAGTAGCATGCGTGTCGAATGCAACCCCGAGTATGACAAAGACAAAGTTCTCGCTTCCTGGTAAGCTGGCTTGGCTGGTGTTGGTTGTTGCGAACAATATCAAGCGAAGGGATGCCATTCCATGTGCGGCCGCTTCGCCCGCTAATCACCGTAATTGCAACCGAGGGAACCAGCGGGACTGTTGTTTATTTCCGAATCGCTCGTTGTGGCATACTCAGTCGAGTACTGAGGACCATAAACGGCCGGGGAATAGCTGGCAAGCCTGCCAGATCGCCTGACGAGCTTGACCACACGGTCATTTGCTGAGAGGTGGCCAGCACGAGCAATCCAGGAGTTAAGCAACGTCTTCGTACAAAATGTACAGGGCGAAAGAGCCTGGAGCCTGGAGCTTGGAGATATTCAGGCGAACCGGATGTCCCGAGCCGAGACAGGAAGGGAGAAGCAACGGCTCTCAATGGCTGGCGATTAGCTCTGGCTGAATGGTTGCAACCTCGGATTGAAGCCATCGGCTAATTTACAGACTGCAAAACAAGAGACCACGGAGAAGGAAGAGGTCTACGCTTAAGATCACAAGAGCAGTCTGTAAGGGCGACTTGACACAACCGATGGCAAACACTTCCAGAGAGACAGAGAGGAGGCAGGGAAAGAAAAGGGATTGCGACACGGCGATTTTCCCCGCGGCGTTCAATGCGGGAGGTATTGTCACTGCATTGGAAAATTTTTCGCCGTCGTCTATCTTTCTTGCCAACGGTCACTTCAACTCGGCCAGAGAAACCCGCCCATGAGAACAATCAATGGCTAGTCTTCATCGTCGGGTTCCTCAGTTTCGGCAGTGGCCACGGCCTTCTTGCTGTTGGAATCCCGGATGATTTTGGTCTTGGCCGCAGGCTCGACTTTTTGGTCTTGCTCGCCAGCATCGTCTTCAGGAGCATCCTCACCATTTTCTTCTTCTTCTTCTTCCTCCTCCTCCTCCTCCTCGTCTTCCTCCTCCTCCTGTTCCTCTTCCTGGGTGGTAGACTTGGACTTCTTGGATGCAGGTTCAACAGGTTCGGCTTCAGCCTTTCGTTTTTTGGGAGGAGGAGCTATGTCGTCGAGTCGATTAGCAATCAAATGTCGACGGTAGCAGAGCTTACTTCAGGTCATGGTGAGAATCAGGACTTACCTTGCTCTTCCTCCTCCTCTTCCTCTTCTTCGTCGCCCTCTACATCTTCCTCTTCATCGTCTTCATCTCCATCCTCATCATCCTCGTCGTCATCTTCTTCATACCTACTCAGGACCAAAAATATCAGCACTTTCAATTGTCCGGGATGGTTAGAGCGCAATTGGTGGCGCAAGCGCACGAGAACAAGAGCAAGGAGGATGAAATGGTGCATGCTGGGCTTCGCCTTGGTCCACGCTCAATCATGAGGCGGAAACGGTAATCAAAAAGCAAAAGACAATTCACACAGCCGGCTTCACCCCGAATGGCGGAAGCCTAAGCAGAGGCAAATAACAAACGAGGACGGACAAGATGAGACTTACTCCTCTTCCTCCTCGTCATCGTCCTCCGGGAGTTCGAGCTCTTCTTCTTCATCGCCAGGTCGGCTTCTGGTGGGCGCCATGGGTGTAGATGACGTATGGATATGACTTGTAGACGAAGAAAGATGGCAGAAGGTCTAGAGGAGATGAAATAAGGATACGAAAGACAAGTGAAAGGTAGCTATGGGCGGAAATAAGGAAAGGGAGAAGAGGTGCGTGGTTGAGGTAGGGGGTGAGCGTGCGGACTACGGCTGAGAACTTGGGAGACCTCTCGGGGGGGAGCTGTTGGCAAACGTCAGGGCCCAGAGTCCAGGGCTCAGGTCTGCACTAGTCAGCAGCTGCTCAGGGGAGGGAACAGAGGGGAGACGAGAGAATTCGGGGGGGGGGGAAGGGATGAGGCCGGGCTTCAGGCAGTCGGGGGTGGGAACAGGCAGAGGCCGAAGTGTGAGCATCATAATGCATAGAGAGGTTGGCCCAGTGGTTGGCGTGCCGCTTGACCTTGCTTGACAAGGAGGGAAGCTCCAGAAGGCTGGAGAAGAGAAGAGGACAGCTGGGAAGGGAGAGAGAAAAAGTGCAGGAGAGGGAGAGGCAGGCAGCTTCCGTGGACGGGAGCTACGAAAGGGAGGTTGGGGAAGGGGACAGTACCAGTGCGTGCAAGTGCGGCTCTCTGGCTCTGCCCTCTTGCCTCTTGCTCTCCAGGCTAGTCGAAGCCCCCTTGCGATGCCGAAGTTCCATGCTGGGTGAGGCACTACTGGCTACCCCTCAATTATTCGACCTGTCAACTGTCAGCACTCCTCAACGCCGCCAAGCCAACCAGTCAACCCGCCGAGCAGCCAACTCGGTCCCGTGATCCGGAAGATAGAAATTGCGATGCCGACGGGTCCACCACAATCACGTGGCGCCTCCTTCTCCATCCAACCCCCCTGCCCCCTTGGGCCTTTGTCTCTTGCCTCATTTCCTCAACCTCCAACTCAACGTCACCATCCCTTGCCGACCGACCGAATCATTGGCGCCGGGTTCTGCCTCATCTCGAGTGCTTTCATGGAAGTGTTTTCCGCTTGAGAGATCCATTACTAACATTTGCACCTTTGTGCTGACCGAGGTTGCGCGGAGTTGTGTGCGTACAAACGACAACAGACGCATCAAATTCCTCAGACGACCTATCTTCCCTTTGCCCATCCTGTACCCCAACAATTGCATTTGAGCGCGCGACTGTATTTTCCAGCTCCCACAGCAGCCCGAGTGTGACAGAAGTCGGTAACGAAATGGCCACAACCAGCCTTTCCCTGCGTCAAGGTGTCACAGTGCAACTGCTCGGGGGTTTTCTGCCTTTCCCTTGTATACCTCTCTCGATCCACTGTCAACCACCCATAACGTTTGCTGAGCCTACAAACACCACCAGCACCGCAGCGAATGCTGTGGTGGACATAAAGACGTCGGCTCGTCTCTGAGCAATCACATTCATCACCAATGAAAACACCAAGTTCATCATGCTGATTGCAACCAGGCGTGCTGCCATGCTTTTCACGCTGAACAGCACCAGGATCGATAATGCCGGGATCACGGCTGACAACAGCATACATATCGTATTCCCAACCTGCACCAACGTTTCTGGTCTGTATTCCCAGGTCCGCTCAAATGCTTTCTCTGCCATGGACCGGTGAAGCTTATATCCTACTACCCGGTGATATAGCGGCACCACCTTTTCGCTCAGAAAGTTGGCCAGAGCATCTTTGCTTCCAATATTTTCATTCAGCGTTAGCAGGTCTGCCTCAATGCTTGCATCTCGGAAGATGCCCGCTTCCACACCATACAAGAACTGGTCGCCACCACTTTCTTCGTCGTACCATTGCCTGCGGAGCTGGAGGTTGTCTTTTCGCGGTTGCTGCAGCGCGTTGATTCTAGCTGTTCGCAATAGAGCTCGATCTGCCCCCACTTGGTCAGCTGTCTATTCTCAGTCATTGGCTGCAGAGCCTTGCTTCCTACAATACTGGTCCAGAAGAGTCCTTGACCGCTCAAAAATTCGGCGGATGTCCTCTTCAGACATCCTTTCAGGATCATCGATCCAGATCCGGTCAAAGCTGTTCAACCCTGGTATCTTCCTCACCTCGTTGATCACCACTTCGAGATGTTGCAGCTCGGCTTGCATATGCAGAATATTCTCCAGATTCATGCTGGAGAATTTCCTGAAAGCTTCAATGTTTTGATGGCTAGCCATCATTGCTGCCAAAGCCCCGTAACCTGTCATTTTCGTAACGCAGCGATCTTGTCGGCGACTTCCGAGAAGGTGATTGACATCAGGGGTATGTCTTCTGTGGGAGGACGGCGGGCGGATGTCTGCTTATAATGAGGAATCACAGACTAACTTGTCCAACGCACCCGCCACTCCTCACCAGTGGGGCACCCGCCGATGGGCTTGCACCTGCGTCGCTGCCCAAGAGGAATTGGCAGGCTCCGAGGTGTCTTCTTTAAGCATTCACTGACGGGAAGCTTCCAATAGGAGCGTGACCGGACAATGCCACTCTCCAAACGCTTTCCATTTGGCCGTTGTTCTCGCGGCGAGTCCATATTGCCAGCCTTGCCGTCCCTGCGCTCGGAGACTACGCGAAGATCATCGCGTGCTGTCAATTCTACGTGGCAACAGCCTCCTACGCACATGCTTTTTCTGAAGCAGATTCTCATCACACATTCCCGCCTATTTTGCGGTGTATCTCATGTGGTAGTCAGGAATGACCCCATTTTGATTTATAGTCCAAAAGACCCTGGATACCTGGTCATTTCTAAAGTTGAAACATGGTTTGCACCGCAACAGTCGCCCATCGAAAGTCTGACAAGGTCTCGGACTTCTTCAGCGCCGCAAAATCCAATGCTGCAACTTCCCTTACCGAACGTGGCCCTGAAATAGTTACTGGTGCTTCCGTTGGCAATCGTCGATTCAGTTTCTATCAGTCTCCAAACCGTGGTGCTACTCTTGCAAAGACTGCCGTGAAACTGACCCATGATTTTGGGAGGTGCTCCCGAGCAGTACAAAACTGTTCTCCTTTGCGCATGAAAAGGTCCAATTTTCATCAAGAAAGTCGACATGTCTCATGCCTTCGGAGACCCACCGCTGCAGCCCTGCAGACGGGAGAAGGGTTCTCCTCGTGCTTGGAGGAGTTTGTCACATGTTGCCATATTGCAGCTCCCTCGAAGGACGGGCCCGACCTTGTACAACGACACAATCCAAGCAGAGATCATCCATTTCCCAAAGCAGCTTGACTGCTATCTGGTGTTATTTAAGATGACAGACTTGTCTGTCCGTGTCATTGCTCTCTTCAGCGTGCTGGCGGCTGAAGACCCAATCCTTTTCCATTTGAATGGCTTGCGGAATTTGAGGCGGCTGACCTAGAGTGAGGGAGCATAGAAGCCACCTACCAGTACGAGAATTCTTCCACCTTTCGAAGGCACACATTAGAATTACTGACTTTGTGGGTGACAGGATGGCCAGAGTCAGCGGGAGGAAGCGTTCGCCAGAAGAAAGAGATCCCATTTTGCTTCGAGTTATCCCGGACTCAAAGGACATGGCAAGAAAGCCCATTCTTGACCGGCTGCGAGTTTCTAGCATGGTGCGTTCGTTCCAGACAGAGGTGGAAAAGCAGAGCAGAGCAGCAAGATGTGACAACAGTGGAGGTCCGTCCAAACGTCTTGAAGTTATGTTGATGGAGGAAAAGAGGAAGCGTCTCAACCTTTTTGTGGTCCTCATGTTCATTCACTTGGAGCCGGAGAAAGATCAAAGGGCAGGTCATCATCAATCAACAACCACTCCAAGAAGAGTGCTGTTGGATACAGGCGCAGATTTCAATCTGATTTCTGACGACGCACACTCTGAGCTCGATCTGACCAAACAGCCATATAAAGGCCGTATCCAATCGATTGGTGGATACACTGATCTCAGCAGCGCTGTCATCCTTCAGTGGCATTTTCGGAGTCACAGTTCCGAAGCGGACCAGATTTCCCGTTCATATCGTGCGCCGTTCTATGTTTTGCCTCCAGACTCCGAAGCCAAGTTCGACTGCATCCTCGGGCGACCGTGGATCGAGGAGAACTGGAGTGATTTCGTCACTCTGGTCGAGCACAACCGAAGAGAGGAAACGGCAGCATAGGGAAATCCGAAGAGTTGGTGATTTCTGTGGAGCGTTTTGCAATTAGAGTATCATACATTGGGGCATCGAATCAACCTCCTCACAATAAAAGCACACCAACCGGATGAAGAGCGAGCGCAGATGTTCAACTTATGAAGAAACCAATACCACCAGCAATGTACCACCAACCACGAGACACAGACCGTAATTTCTGAGAAAGGACATCGTCGCCACAAATTTCTGAAGCGAAGTTGTATGACAAAATCCGACCAAATCTGGATTCGGACCAAGGGCGGCGTTTGAGGGACGGGCCACTGAAGACGGAATTGTTACACAGCTGGTTGGAGTAAAAGTTCCAGGTCACCAAGATACTGCCAGACAGCCAACGACGTTAATTTTGTACGGATATGGTCATCTGAACATCTCAGAAGCCGCCACAGCGGATCCGAGAATGAGACTATTCGGTTTGGTATCTTCAGAAGTCTTGTTCAACCTGTCAATTACTGCTTGTGGCTTGTTCTCAACCTCTGCATTCTAAAGTGACAAATCTAGCGTTCATGGTCACGCCCAACATTTCCAGGTGACCAGCGAGCCGGAGTGCAGCAGAATCTCATCACTTGAAGTCGTCGGTCGACAAGGATGTACCGTCGGCAGAAGGTATACATGAGCACAGTCTCTCGCGGATATATGGAAGGCGAAGAATCTTCCAATACCGATTTGACAACTCATGGGCATTTCAATCCGGGCTTGGGCACGAAGTTTGTCTAGCCGTTTCGCAGTTTCAGTTGCTGGCTTGGTTGCCTTGTACTCGCCTCGTTTCTCGGTTGCCCGCCCTTTTTGAGGCATGTCCATAGGGCGCAATCGCCCGATCTCGAACGCTCTGATGCTAAACCCTCATCAGCTCGAGTCTTCATATCGCTCGTGGCAAGCCCGCCGTCCGCAGTTGTTTCGTCCATCTGACATAACTCCACCAATGGTACGGTTTCGACCCGTGTTCCTCGCTACCAGCCGAGCACATCTGGAAGCGATTCGGCATGCCTGCTGATACTGGTAATAGGCTTTGAATACGAGAGTATGCATTTTCGTCATCGCCGAGGGCCAGGAACATCCTATCAAGCTGTGCAATGCCCTTCACGATAGCACCCTGCCCAAGAGCATCATCTCAAAGAGCAAAGCCGTCGCCACTCGCGGCGCCATTCGCTCGAATGCACCAACCACGTTGATCGACCACACCGGAACGAGTCATATCTCCACTTCTGTCATTTCCCTGCGATGGTACTACGACGATGGCACCCAAACTTTCCCGGAGACGTTCTACATCGTCGACAAGATTTCGGCCAATGATACTACGGACGGCAACAGCAGCCGACCAGAAGCGAGAGATCACGGCCACTGGGACGCAATCCTCCGCGGCACCGCCGAACCGCCCTCCGCCGCCCTAGGCCCTCAAGTCAATCCAATATGCGCTGCGCCACCTGGGATAGATCCCCGGCGGGAGCGCGAGAGAAAAGAGCGGGCCGAGACGAACCAGCAGAAGTTCGAGAGGGAGAAGGAATTGCAGGCCAAGAAGATTCGGGATGCGTTTGCTTTGAAGCAGGCTGGGTCAGGAAAGAGAGGATGATGGGGCCCATACTATCTAGTATTAACCTGGGAACAGTTGAAAGGGGGCAAGCAAGCACCCCTTGACGCATTTGGTATTGACGAAACGAGATTAGCCCGCTTGTCAGCAAGCATTTTGCTGCAGAGCCCAAAGCTGGAACGAAAGCCGCGTGCAGGATACTTTTGGGGCTTTATTTTTCTTTATGGTGATGATTAGCGTGTGATGCGTGATGCGTGATGTGATATGAGATGATCCAGTATGACCTGACCATTTTCATTCTCTTTTGTCAACGAGGCTCAACGCTTGCTATCAATGCATGCACCCCCCCAACTCCCCCAAACAATCTAGAACTAGTTCCGGTGTCTGCAGCACAGACTACTCTTTCGCTCGCTCTTTCTCTCTCTGTGTGTGTATGTGTGCTACCGTGAAGCATAGAGGAAAATATACACTGTATTATACTATACATCAGAACCAAGACAAGTCATGCATGCTGTGCTTCCCCGCGCATATAGATATGAAGTATTGATAAAATTTAGAAGGACTCCTTCCGTTGCTCACAGGTAGTGCAGTTGACTATTCTGCATCATATAGTTACAGTACATATACCTTCCATTCGCTCTGTCTGTTTCTCCCCTTTTTCCTCCATTCCAAAACCCTTCTCCCCTTCTTTGTCCCCCAAGCTCTTAAGCACAAAGACTATATAATCTCACTCACTCGCACCTCCCTTCGCTGCTATGAAGTGTTGTTTCACTACCTAGGCCATGCCGCCGTTTACCCTGATCGTCTGCCCGCTCACCCACTCGGCGCCCTGGCCGCTCAGGAACGCGATGGCTTCGGCGATCTCCTCGGGCTTGCCAATGCGGTTGGCCGGGTGGAAGCTTGCGAGCATCTTGAGCACCTGTGGGCTCTTGCCCTCGAGGAAGAGGTCCGTAGCCGTGGGGCCTGGCGCGACCGCGTTCACCCTGATGCCTTTGCTGGCGAGCAGGTCCTTGGAGAGCAGGCGGGTGAGTTGTTCTATGGCACCCTTTGTCGCGCAGTAGAGAGTATAGGGTCCGTTGACGGTCGAGGCGTGGCAGAGTGTCGTGGAGATGAGCACGATGCTGCTTCCCCGCGCCATGTAAGGTAGGGCCTTTTGCACAAGGAAGAAGGGCCCTTTCACGTTGAGACTGAACGTCCTGTCAAAGTCCTCTTCCGTGCATGACTCGACCGTCTTCATGGGCAGGATCCCCGCGTTGGGGATCAGGATGTCGATCTGCCCGAACTTTTCGACTGTGGCTTTCACTAGTTGCTCGACGCCGGCGATAGTGCCTGCGTCGGCTTGAACGGCATATGCTTTGTCGCTGCCGAGTTGTGAGACGATTTTTTCCGCCGCGGCGCTGTCACGGCCGTAGTTGACCACAACTTTGGCTCCGAGTTTGACTAGAAGTGTTGCTGTGCTTGCGCCAATGCCTTTCGTGCCTCCAGTGATCACGGCGACTTTGCCTGAGAGTGGAGCGGAAGACATCGCGATGATTTTGGTTGTAGCCGGTGATTGCGTCGCAGGTGTGGTAAGGCGATTTGCTTGCTGGGGAGAAGAGGCTTTGCTAGATTTGTGTCGGGAGATGATTGCTTTGATCTGTTTCATGAATTTGATATTGATATGGATTGGACTGAGAGTGGCTCATGACTTTCGATCGCTGTGACCCCTTAATATATGGCTTTGTTTGTCGTGACGCCATGACTGTCGCAGAGGTTTGGTATATCCAAGGGCAAAATGATACTGCTATTGCTCGGAAAAAGTCCCGGTCATCCACGGTGATAGGCATCGAAAAGTGTTCCTGACGGGTGTCGTGCAAAGACGAGCTATTTTCTTCTCTTGTCCCAGGCGTTCCCGGACAGCGCCGTACAGTAAGGCCAACAATGCAGACCGAGCCTTGCCGATAGGGGAAATCATACTCCTCCGGGAAATACCTTTCTCCGCAAACACCGAAACGTTTGGTGAAGAAAGGTACGAAGTGCCCGGGTGTGTATCGGATCAACCAATCTTCTGGCGAGAAAAGTAGCCACTGATGTAATTATCTCTGAAAAACATCACCAGCATGTGGTGTTTTTAAGTTCGATGGATGCATCCTGGTATTCCGCTCGTACATAGGCGCGGATTATGGAGTGAAAGTCCCTGGAGCGAGGTGATCCAGATCTCCGGCCTCCGTGCCTGGCAAGTCCAACCAAAGAAATGAGGATGGAGTCGATATGTAGGGCATCTGGAACATCGACAAGCCATACCCTAGACAATTGGGAGATATAAGAGGTCTAGTATTCGCAGCTGTTTCTACCACGGACAATATAACTTGCCAGATTTTGAAGACACTGGGAAAATGGCTGTACGACCTCTTGTGAGTTTGGTCACCGGGGCAGGCTCCGGATTTGGAGCCTTAACAGCTCGAGCACTGGCAAGATCAGGCCACACTGTATATGCTGGCTTCCTTCAATCCAATGACGACAAAACCCCGGTTTACAGAGATGCCGCAGACTTCGCTAGGGAGAACAGCTGTCAGCTTCGAGGTATACAACTCAATGTGGTCAAGGACGACTCGATCAGGAGGGCGGTCGACAAGATCATGGCCGAAGAGGGAAGGATAGACGTTGTTGTACACAATGCTGGTACGCGCGCAATACCTTGAGAGAAGCAACTCGCACAAGGATTGACATGTTCTAGGGCACATGAACTTTGGGCCCGCCGAGGCTTTTACGCCCGAACAATTTATGGAATTGTACGAAGTCAACTGCCTGTCTTGCCAACGTATTAACCGAGTTGTCCTGCCCCATATGAGACGGGCCAAAAGTGGACTCCTTGTATGGGTGTCGTCCAGCAGTGCTCATGGACCGAGCTCGCCGTTCCTGGCACCATATTTTGCGGCAAAAGCTGCCCAAGATTCCCTCGCACAGACGTACGCCGTGGAGCTCACCCAGTTCGGCATTGAAACGTCAATTGTCGTGCCTGGCGTCTTCACAAAAGGCACCAGCCACTTCGCCACGGCGATGAAGGCAGGTGATACAGCAGTTGAACAAGAGTACATGGAAGGCGCTCTGAAAGGGTGGGATCACATCGCTGCTGAAGGCCATAACAAGATTGTATCACCAGATGCTGATCCTGGAGCCGTTGCTGAAGCCGTCCGTCGCGTTGTTGATGCCGAGTACGGCAAGCGGCCGTTCAGAGTACATGTTGAATACGACGGAGGTGGTGCGGCTATCGTCAACGGCGTCCGTGACTTGGTGAGAGAGACCTTTCTCAACAGACTCGGCCTGGCGGATCTGTTGAAGGTCAAGATATTCAAGTGAGATTCTGCAGAGGGCTCAAAAACATAACTGTTAATACCGTGTGCGCACAAGTCAACCCTGTTCGTGTATATTAGTATATTCTGGTGAATATTACACCCCGCGGAGTCAGGCATTTGGCACGCAGTTCGCCGCGCAGCGCGTCTTCGAGGAAAGGAATACAAATGTGCGGGCAATTCAGAGACTGCAGAGTAATATTTTTTTCCTCTTCGCCCAATACAAAGGTCATTTGACGTCATTTAAAAAAATCACGTGGCAACCTGCCACCACCAGCCAGCCTCTGTCTGCCCAAGCTCGTGTGAGCCCTTCCCGGATCTCATCAGGGGGTGGTTCTTGGAATAGAATGACTGGGCTCTTTCCTGCGACATACGTGGAACTAGATAATCATCTCCGAACGAACGTTTTCGCCTTACATGAGATACTCTCTCATTGCTCACCACTACATGGTAAAAGCCCCTATCTCATCTCATCCTTGACGCTCTGATCTCAGGACCTGGAAAGCTCTCGGCCCGCGAGGACGCCCAAGGATATCAGACTGAACATGTCTACAGCCTCAAGTACAGGCTCACCGGCTATAGGGTGGCCAGTGTTGATGCGTCAGCATAAGGTTGCCATGATTGCACCTTCGCATTCGATTCCGAGTCACCGACGTGTCAGCCAAATTGTTGAATAGTAATCAGTGAACCCAGCAAATATACCATCCGCTTCGGCCTGAACTCTCTTTCTCTATCCGTGCTTCAAAACCTAGCTCTATCTCTCAACAATGGACGCTTTCTGGCCAATTCATCGTTCACCACAGGATAGAAAACTCGTGTGGCACCCTCAAATTTCGTTCGACCGGTTCCGTAGTAATCTATTGCAGACAATCCTTCATCCGCGAAGTCAAGCTGAGAAGGCGAGGGAGTGGCAGTGATGGACCCCACGCAAGACCATGACATCTTTGATGTGACGCTTATGGGCCATCCAGAGGCTCGGAGCGTGGATGAGTTGTGGGCTGGCAAAATGGACGTCAAAGAGCGACGCCGACTGCAAAACCGTCTGAATCGACGGGCATACAGTTGGGTTCTCACATTCTGACGCGTATTCCCTCGGCTAATGAAGGTGCGCAGGGAAACGGCAGGCCGAACAAAAGCTGCTTCGGAAGAGGACCATGGCTGAAGCCGGCATTGAGCCCGAGAGCGGCCGTCGCAACCGGTCGCCCACCCTCCCCGGTGTTGGCGTCTTTGTGGTCGGAGTGAAGGATGAGAAGATATCAAACGGTCCCATCTCTCTAAGATCCTTGATATCTGCTGCTGGCAAGCTCTCTGCACAAACCAACGTGACGATGTCTACCGATTCGTCCAAGCCATCACGCCGTCATCATAAACATAGGCTCGTGCAGTCGTGGTGTCGAAGACTTGAAGAGACAATGCTGCATGTTGGTTCTATCAATGTCGAGCTCGACGACCAAGACGCCTCGGTGACAGATTCAGATCCCGTCAAGTTCGAAGAAAACATCATCCACGCCATAGACATACGCTACCACACGTTCATTCCCAGCCCGGAAGATCAGCTTCTTAACCTCATGTACTACAATGTCTTCCGGGGACTTGCTAAGAACATTAGAGCGTTGAACCTCGAAATGCACCTTATGGCGTCTTGGGCCTCGGACAGTCCTTTTATCTCTGGGAATATTGACACTTCGACTCTAGCCCCGGATTTTCAGCCGACATTCCTCCAACGAACCGTGGCGCACCACCCATGCTTCGACATCTTTCCTGACTCTGTTGTCAGAGACAATGCTATTGAATACTGGTATATCGAAAAACATCCCTTAGAGGGAAGGCTATGTATGGCGATTGCCGGCAGGCATACATGGCATGAGATCGACCTTGCTTTGAAACATGGGTGCGTGCTATGGGGCGAACCGGATGTTACTGAGAGTTGGGAGGTCACTCAAGGCTTTGCAGACGACTGGCCCTTCCTCGTCAAGGGCGCTGTTCGCCTGGAGGCTGCCACTAATCGATATAGGGCGCTGCGAGGTGAGCCGCCAATTTTCTTTGCCTGAGGGCGAAAAGGCGTAGGAACACTAGATATTACCGAGACATTCGGAAAACTTGGACCGATAGCCACCATGGATGCGGACTTGTCGCTATGGATGCTGGGAAGAAAAGGGGCGGCGCTGTGTCGGGCGGGGATATCATGCGGTGATGGAACATACGAGTATCCTGCGGACGCAACAGGAAAATGCTGTTTCATGGACATCCCAAATCATCAGGTTTCCGCACAGTAGAGACACCATGAGCACATCCATCACGATGACTATTTGTCTTTTATCGGTGGCCGACAAGCGGGCGTCGAAGTGTCCCGCAACCATGCGCCTGATCGTGAGTTGAACTGTTTGCGAAAGCTCGCCATTGTCATTTCGAACTAACACGTCCCGCAGCACCTGTGTGCCGCGTCCTTACTCGGCCTTGTCGGTCCTGCTCCCCTCTCTGCTCGTGCATCGAACCAGGTGTTTGCCCTGGGCGCTGCTAACCATCCAACCGACATCAACGATGGCGCTGGTGCGGGAAGCGACATGTACAGAACCTATTCTGGCGACGGCTCGGCGTCAGCTGGCTGGCCGGAGATGGCGCAATGGGTTTCGTTCGAAGATATGTGAGGAGACGAGAGCAGCCTTCCTCAACTCGACTGATATCTTTGCAGGTTCAACGCGAATAAAACCTTCAAGCAGGTGTCGTGTGTCAACCTAGGATCCGATAATGGGCCTGACAACAGCGACGAAGAAATCGGCCAGATCTGGGACGCAGTGCAGTCCGCTTCATCCCAAATCAACGTGAACCACTGCTTCATCCTGGCAATCCTCCTTCAAGAATCCAATGGCTGCGTTCGCTTCCGAACGACTGACAACGGTGTACCCAATCCAGGTCTGACGCAGGCTCACAACGGCGGTTTCTCTTGCAGTTCGAATGGAAACATCCAGACTCCGTGTCCTGCCTCTGAGATTACTGGCATGGTCCTTGGTGGTACCGCTGGAACCTTGAGTGGGGATGGCCTCGCTGGCATACTGAGTCAAGTTGGGGGCAAGGACGCGAAGGCATACTATCGGACTGCCCGACAATACAATACCGGGTCAATCGCAGAGAGCGGTAACCTAGACGAGGGTGGATACTCAACCCGCTGCTACGCCAGTGACATTGCGAATCGATTGACAGGCTGGGTTTGGGCAGAATCGGACTGTGCTCTCTGAGTGAGGTGTATGTTGTTTGTTTCTGACTGCAGCTCTGGCTCATAACGAGGGTGATGAGATGGAGTGTTATGGCCGGCAAGAACTACGCAGTCTATTTTGTGAAAGAGCGTTAATTAAATGTTCCCAGATGATGGTGGTTGTCTGGTTCTACCTTTTTGTACTGAGTGCTCCGTAAGTTTCATGCGCTGTGGGCGAGCCTCACTGGCCGGGTCAACCCCGGAAGAAATGCCTCCCTAGCCCGAATTTCTGCCACCTGTCTTTGGGCAGTGTACCCTCCTCGTCTCGTACCGAGTATGCGCTACACAACATTTACCTGCGCACCGAGACTACTGTTGTCCTGTTGAGTTCGTTCCGTGGCGACCATCCTCGACGTCAATGTTGCACCTCTCACTTTAAGAAGCTTCCTTTGAGACCTGGTGTCCACCGGACCGTCGCCATGCTACCGTTTCTTGCGCCATACCTTTCCAATCCCCGGCAATCACTGTCGCAGGTGCTGAACTTTGCCCTGGTCCTGTCGACGGCCTTTATGCTGTGGAAGTCTCTTTCAGTGATTGCAGACTCGCCCTCGCCTATCGTGGTGGTGCTGAGTGGGTCGATGGAACCTGCCTTTCAACGGGGTGATCTCCTGTTCCTCTGGAATCGAGACAAAACGGCCGAGGTTGGGGAAATTGTCGTCTACAACGTCAAGGACAAGGATATTCCCATTGTTCATCGCGTCGTCCGCAGTCATGCAGCTGCGGCCCCTGTCAAAGCGGACAAGAGGTACAGACATCCATCTACCCTCCGGAGAGCGGAATCTGTTCGACTAACCCTCGATCTTAGCGGGAACCTCTCGAAAGCTGCTCCCAAACTCCTCACGAAAGGCGACAACAACGTCGCCGACGACACGGAACTCTACGCGCGCGGCCAGAGCTATCTGGACAGGAAAGAGGATATTATTGGCAGTGTCCGCGGATATGTGCCAGCAGTTGGATACGTGACCATCATGCTTAGCGAGCACCCTTGGTTAAAGACGGTCATGCTGGGGATCATGGGCTTGATGGTCATCTTGCAAAGAGAGTAAAGGACCACACTCCTTGACCAATAAAGGCGCGCCTGCCTATGGACCATCCTGGACAACGTCCTTTTTCGAAGGATGAAACATGCCTGAACCACGAGAGAAAACAACACGCCCAACACCTCCCGCCCCGATTGATCAGTCGCCTGACCACTCCCACACCCGTCAGAAATGGCATGTAGTTGTTAGCAGAGCCAGGAAAAATACCGAGCTAGAAGGGTTCCGTATGCCATAGTCGAAGGGATGTTGTCGGATTGTGGCCGATGTATAGGGTCAAAGGCTTTTGGACCCCAAATTCTGCAGTGAAGCATGAGGCCTCTTTCTGGGAAACAGCAAACATATGCAGGCAGAGAATGCCGGTCCGGATAGGGTGCAGACGAGCAGGCTGGTGCTGACGCTGCAGTGGATAGTCCGACAGTTAGATGGCCAGTCCGGAAGATCCTCGCTGTAGTCCGTCGGCAGTAACAAATCAGGACGCGTTGAGCAGGGCCAGGCGTCCTACGAGTACGGAGTGACCAGAGTGTTCAGCGTGTTCCTTACAGGGCGAATCTTCCCAAAAGGTGTGGCTAGGGGGAGGGGGCGCATACTGGGCCTGGCTAACGGGCATCCAGCATGGCGCCATATCCGGAACCTCGATTCTGGACCGAGACTCTTAATATTATTAGTATTCGTGGCGCCGAGAAAGTCACTGGCCAAATCCCATTGTCCCAGTGCCACACACCCAACAGCCCCTGTCCTTTTGCTGCTCTCTCCCTCGTGTTGCGCCGCATGGTTTGTTCCACGATGGCCAGAATCATCTCTTCCCAAGACGAGCTGAAAACCTAAGCGGCCTCCTTATCGCCGTCACGTTTCAGTTTGGGCCGCTTCCTCTTCCTTCCTTTATTTCCCCCCCCATTCTCGAAAAGCTGTGCATCTTGTGCCATGCGTCGTTGATCCTTGCATGATGCATGTTGCACACAGGTGACAGGTGGCTTTCCACCGAACCCAAGTTTGGAGCACTTCTACTCAGGTACGGAGTCCTCGTACATGCGCCGCCCAACGCCAGCCTTACGAGTCAGAGTCTAGCTCCTGATTCAACAGGCGCGTCCCAATTTCCCCAACCCCAGTCGCTTATCTGTTGCGAGTCGGGGGATTGATAATAGCAACATCATCACCCTCTGCTCACCAAAAGGGTCAAAGCTACAAACGTCTTGCTGACGGCTGGGATTTCATTGCCTCTCCTCCACATTGACACCGCCATTCCTTGGTTGCCCCGAGCATTTCCTGCCAAACGAACCTGTCTTGCTGTCGTCCGGACGAGTAATCCAGGCCGTACCGCGATATTTGGCAACAACGAATGATCGGCTCCGGATAGGTTCTACGGGGGGTGTTTTGGGGCGCCATTTACGAGGAATTGAATCACGCTATCGAAGCATGCCTTCATTGACTTTGTTCACCGTCGAAACAATTATGGACCACAGATGACCCCGCCTCTATCCGACACGTCGCAACTCAATTGAGGTTTCACCATTGTCAACATGGATCACGAACAGTACGATCTCGGTTCAATGCCTCTGCCGGGCACCTCGACTCCAGACAATGTCGAACTTCTCGAGAGGAAGGGCTCGCCCGGAGTTACTGGCTCGATTGATGCGACACAATCCGGTCCTTACTATCGGCGACATTCACGGGGTCATTCTGGAGACGAACGAGTGAAGTCGATTGACGAAACCGAGAGTATGCGAGATGAATCGTACGACCTGGTAGAACCAGGATCGCCGCCTAAGGCTCGCCGGTTTAGCGCAGGGCAATCCGCTGCTTCGTCGGTGCTCCGGCGGTTGACCACCAAAATCAATCCTATGTCACGAGGCACTTTTCGATCCACCAAACGTTCCAAAGGCCGGGAGTATGCCACTCTGGATGATGGCGAGGATGGCCAAGGAGCGATCGTAGATATCTCGTCGTTGGAGGGTATGGGCTGGGAGCTGACCGACTTGTCAAACCCCGACGCTGAGCGCCTCCAAGATGAGCATACCGAGTACGTGCGCGTGAACAAGACCAGCGGAAAACCCGATTTTCGCTCGTTTGTGCAGAAGCGCGCTTCGGTAGGTGACGGAATGAAGGGTGTAGGTGTGCAACTGAGGCGTGATCCGACCAGGATAGTACGAAGAGGGACTGGAGGAATACGCAGCGCTGACAGCTCGGGCATCGACCGGAGCAAGACGGTGCGCGACTTGGGCCAGGATCTGGCGCACAAGAAGAACATGATCGTCGAGGTCGAAGAAATAGTTGACTTGAGCACTCTGGATGGCGGGAATTCTGAAGATCGCCAGAGTCGCAACTTCGACGCCATGTCCATGAGGCAAAGCGTCTTGCCCCAGGAAACGAAGAGTTACTTCTTTCCCGAGGACCCGGACATCCCCAACTGGAAACCATGGTCAATGCGAAGCTGGTACATTTGCTCCTTAGCAGTGCTTGCTTTGGGTTTGGCGGGATTTCAGGAGTACCTGTGTCAGAGATCCTTCAAAAGCGTCCGGGAAAAGAGTGGCATCCTAGCGTTCGATGCTGTGGCTGAGATTTCGACTTGGGACTTCTTTGCGTGGAAGTGTCAGTAAACACCGCTGATCCCCAGGTCCACTCTGCTAACGCGGATCCAGATCTTCCGACGATGATCGCCATCGTCTACGCCGTCCTGTTCTCAATCATGGATTTCGACATTCGCCGTCTTGAACCGTTCTATCAGTTATCCCGACCTCGAGGAGCTTCAGCGGCGGCCAGCCTAAATTTGGATCATTTGACCATGTTCCAGTATTTCGTCCCATTCAAGGCCTTTAGACTCCGACAGTGGGCCGTGTTCTTCTCAACCACGGGCAACATTGTTGCCTCGATGGTGTCACCTGCCCTACAAAACCCCTCCATCACCTTTGCCACGAATCCAGATCCCCGGTGCAATGCGGACGGGTGCCCCGGCGATGAAAAGCATTATTGGGTGCGAATCTCGCCGGGCTGGTCTCGGGCCCTGTCGGCAAGCTATGTCTTCGTGGCAATTGTGCTTGTCATACTGTTCATTCAGTTGCGGCGCAAGTCTGGCTTGCTCAGCGACCCGAAGGGCATCGCCGGGATTGCCTCGATGGCCACCAAGTCGCACATCCTCCAAGATTTCGCCGGATTAGACGAAGCAAACTGCGCAAAGATCCACAAACGACTGGCGCATCGACGATACGTGCTCTACAAATCTTCCATCTGGCAGGGTGAATGGAGCTCTAAGAGTGAGCCGCCGCAGGACAGCGAAAGAAAGCTCACTAGCCCGCATCCGTTGATGCTCCAGATGCAAGCGGCTATTCCGTTCCTGGCCTTTATGGTTTTCTGTCTCATATCGATCCCCATCATCACGTTGACCAAAGCTAGGGTAGTACCGAATGCTGCCCCATGGCTGCCCATTCTGATTGCCACTGGCTTGAAGCTGTTCTTCAGCACGTTTGAGTCCGATGTTCGACTCATGGAACCCTTTTATCAGCTCTCCAGAGGAAACGCCAGACCCGAAAATAGCCTCACGCTGGACTACCAAGCGACTGTGTACGGGCTTATGCCTTTCAAAGCCCTCCTTAATGGCCACTACCTCCTGGCACTGGTGGGGGTATCCTCGGTGTTGTTGGATATCCTGACGGTGACTGTGAGCTCCTTCTCGGTCAACTCGGAGGACTTTATGCACGTGGGCAGTCACGGGGAGGACAGGTCCAACGGCGACGAGACGTTCGTTTCGTTCTGGACTTCACTCATTCTGTCGATGTTCATCTTGCTGTTTGTCATTTTCACGACGTCATTCGTATATCTTCGACGGCGACACCCCTTCCTGCCACGGGAGCCGTCCACCATTGCGGCAGTATTGGCCTTCATCTATGCCAGCAACATGCTTACGGATTTTGTTGATACAGAGACACTGAACAACAAGGCCATGGAAACGAGGCTGAAAAACATCAACAAGAGGTACGGATTGGGATGGTTTAAAGGAAGAGATGGACAGATCCACTGCGCGATTGATGAAGAGCCAATGAGGAGTAAATACGTGCATGGGAAACCGTATACGATGGCACAGGCGGGGCCATTACATGAGACATATTATTCAGTTGCATAAGAGCGCCGACCGAATCTGGCGTGGTCAGAGGGATTCCGTTCATGGACTGGACGTAGCGGGGCAATATGGGCAACGCATTGGAATTGGCAAAGAGCTTGGATATGAGATACGAGGCACCAAGAACACAAGGACATATATATACACTGGGAATCTTTGACGATATGGTAGCGGAACTTGACCAAAAGGAATTCTGCTCCCGCTCGAAGTATTGCGGTGGGCATCTGTGATAGAGGGTACAAGTGCTTAACATGGGGAACACCTGATATCTTCCGGAAACTTGTCGTCATCCACGCCCTTGTTTTGCCTTGGGTGTCAGTGACCAGGGTCTATATCTGGGCGGGAATCTGATCTCGTCTCATTCTGGCAAGAACAAGGAACAGGGAACAGGGAAGAGAGACATGAAGCGGGGCCACCAGGGCTGCCAACTGGGCCATGAATAGTTATATATAATAGGCTCAGAGAGTCGGCCACGACTTGGCGACACGATTGGCGACAAGGATCGATTGGTGGCCATGGCGGGGAAAAGTTGTCAATGGCTTGAGATTCGTAAAATGAAGCCAATGACAATGACGTAGGAGCAGTACTGGCAGCAGGAGAGCATTCATCACTTCCACCAACTTCAAAACCCCTTCCCTTCTTCATACCACCTCTCCTCTTTCCAGACTGGTCGTCTCTGCTCTCCAATCCCATCTTCAACATGCCCACCCCAGGGTACGTCTTCCGCGACGGCTGCGATACCCCTCGAGCAGAAGAACCCCCCGATTCAGAGTACCATCAAGGAATCACTCAAGCTACGAAACCTGCTGCGGTAACCTCGAATGCTCCCCTGGCCCAAAATACCACGACAAGTCACCAATTAGCTACAGGAGCGACAGGGGACCATGAAGTCCAG